CTCTCTCTCTCTCTCTCTCTCTCTCTCTCTCTCTCTCTCTCTCGCTCTATCTATCTATCTATATATCTATCTATCTATCTATCTATGTATCCGCCAAAGCGGGAAGATTCATTAGCAGGAATGAACCCGTTCGTTTTTCTTATTTCTTTTTTTTTGTTTTTGTTTTTTTTTTCCCATTTTTTTCATGCCTTTCACTCCAAGGTTCGGGATGCCTGCGCCCGGTAGTCCGAGCCTTGGCACGTACCGATCGGCCGAGGCTCGGACTCCATAGGTGGGCCAGGTACTGGTGGTTTAATCACTTTCCAATAGTGATTAGCACACCTCAAGTGCGTAGTGGAACGGGGCAGCCCTTGAGATTGTTTCAAGTAGAGGGTAGTGTCGTGGATTTCGAAAAAGTCCCTCCCCAACCGGGCAAGTTGGACGCAATTTCGCTCTTTCGGTCCGACAGGCCCGGGACCGAACAACGCGGTTCTTTTTGGTTCTCCCCAAAAAGAGTAGCAGTCGGATCAGCCGCTTAGTGGAGCGAGGGCCATATCATAGAACAGTGGACATATGGAATAGGGCCCGAACGTGGTCACTACTTTTTATTGCGCCCGACATAGCAGAGAATAGTGGGCTTGACTTCGCGCGCGAAGGTCTACCACATACAGGTGAGTGTTCGCAGACAGATGTCACGCAGAAGATTGGTGTGTGTCGGTAGTAAAGTCGACCACTCTTCTCAAGGATATCGCAGCGATCTCTAGGCTCTTTTTTTTCTTTTTCTTTTTCTTTTTCTTTTTTTTTTTCCAATCCCTACCTTTGGACAAGCTGGTGAGTCCTTATCCTTCAGTCAGTCAGATGCATCCTGAGCAAACTGTTGGGGTTCAAGCTCCGGATGAGACCCAACAGTCTGTCACAATTCTTCTGTGGAGTTCTCTTCTGCGAATACAGATCACACACGTACACGCACAGATAGAGTACATTGTACTACCGGTAGGCTAATCAATGTCTTGACGAAACCAATTATGGGAATTACAGTGCCAAAGAGACAAGCAGTGTCTTTTGTGTGTGTGTGTGTGTGTGTGTGTGTGTGTGTGTGTGTGTGTGTGTGTGTGAGAGAGAGAGAGAGAGAGAGAGAGAGAGAGAGAGAGAGAGAAAGAGAAAGAGGGAGGTGGTTCGTCGTTTTGATTAGTGATGGAACACGAACAAACTAAGGGAAAGTGATAAAGGGAATCGTTGATGAGACTTTTACAAACGAGGTTGATGGTTTTTCACCGGAGCTAATAGGTTAATGCTCTGAAGTGTGTCAAAATCCTCACGCAGATTTTTGAAGACTTTATCGAAGGGTGCCCCCCCTTCCCCCCCCTTCCCACCCCTCCCCCCCCTGCTGGAAATAGAACGTAGTGAGTGATATCCCTTCCACCATACTCACACTACTAGCAGGACTAAAAGACAAATGGGTGATATCCCTTCCACCATACTCGCACTACTAGCAGGACTAAAAGACAAATGGACCTGCTAACTACTCAGATAGGCTCAGTGGTAACAAAGACTAACGGACAAGAAAGCAGAGGGCGCCGAGCACAGTAACAAAAACAAACGGAACACAGTAACAAAGACTAACGGACAAGAAAGGAGAGGGCACCGAGCACAGTAGCAAAGACAAACGGAACACAGTAGCAAAGACAAACGGAACACAGTAACAAAGACAAACGGAACTCAGATCAAGTGATAGTGGTGAGGAGGGGCACGAGCTCCCCACGAATAGACAGGGGTCATCTATCATTTGAAAAAGGGGGGGGGGGGGSGGAAGGGTTGGGACATGGGGATAGAGGTGGAACAAAACGGGGTCGATCCAGCAAAGCAATCAGCTTCCGCCGCTACCGTTGTCAACCGAATAGAGTGCCCGGTCATTGTAGTTGTGTTTAGGCTGAAAGCTGCCCCACATATAGCTATAATGACTGGGCGTTCTATTCGGGTGAAGTCGGTAGTAAGGAAAACAGATTCATGGTTGCAGCTATTCCGATGAAAAAAACTACACTAAAGCAATCTCACACATGTAGCTTACTCTCCTTTATTCTCCGTTTGTCCTTGTTCGTCTGCCTATCTTTGTTCCCTCCCCTACGTTTCTCTGTCTGCCTCTTCCCGTCGTTTCTCCCTCCCTCCCCCTGCCCCCCCAGCCCCCCCCCCCCCCCCCCCCCCCCCCCCCCCCCCCCCCCTCTCTCTCTCTCTCTCTCTCTCTCTCTCTCTCTCTCTCTCTCTCTCTCTCTCTCTCTCTCTCTCTCTCTCTCCCCTTACGTCTGCTTGTCTGTCTGGCAGTGGCTCCCTGTGCCTGTCTATCAGTCTCTCTCTCTCTCTCTCTCTCTTCCCCCCTGACGCCTGCTTGTCTGTCTAACACTGCCTCTTGTCTGTCTGCCTATCTGTCTGTATGTCTGTCTGTTTGCCTCAGTCTATCAATGTGTCTCGAATTATCCGAAATTTTATATTCATAAATTATTTGTAAATAAGATGGAGGGAGTACGCGGAGGCTCTGCGGCTCTATCAAGCGAAAGGCGGGAAACAAAGGAGCAGCGGCGACCAGAAGTTGAAAATCCCTCCGCTGTCACACGTGTACCCGATCCCGCAGCCGCCGACGCAGCTGGCAATAGCAGTGGGAGCAGAATTGCCGCCTCCTCCTCTCCTTCTCCTCCTAATGTCTTGGAATCCTTGTCACGAGAGGCGCGCTTCACTTGGGCGGCCTTTCATGCTGGTGTTGTTGGCGGAGCTGAGCTCTGTCGGAACGCATTTGAGACTATCGCGGACTCTGTGGGTCAGCGGGGGTGGCGGCGATCAGATCGGGATCCTCATCATCAACGTCATCAATCAGGTCCGTTGATCTCGGCAAAGCGACGGACAGGATCAGGTGCAGCATTCCTGGACCAACGGGTTGGACCAGGTCCAGCAGATTCGGACCGGTCGTGTCGACTAACCCCCAGGCGGAGGGCTGAAGCTGGGCGGAGGAAGGAGGAGGAGGAGGAGGAGGAGGAGCAAGAGGAGCAAGAGGAGGAGGTACGTCGTGAGGCGGGGGGCAGTCGTCGCTCCTCAAGTGATAGCTTGGCGGGAAAGCTTGGCGGGAAAACTTGGCGGGAAAGTTTGGCGGGAAAGCTGTGTATTGTGACTGGTGGAACGGAGGGAATCGGATTGATGACGTGTAAGGAGCTTGTCCGACGTGGCGCCCACGTGATCGTTGCCAGCAGGTCTGCCACTGACAAGGAGGGCGAGATCCGTAAGGAGGTGTTAACGAGTGATGAGAGAGGGGCAAAGGACGCAGAGGGAGAAGGAGAAAGAGGAGGAGGGAGTGGAGGAGTAGAAGGACGTGTGGAGTTTATGCGTTTGGATTTGTCTTCGTTCCGAAGTGTCCTTGAATTCTCGGAGAAAGTTCGCTCACGTGGTGTTCCCGTTGATATCCTTGTTAATAATGCCGGCGTTATGACCCCTCCTAAACGGACTGTAACGGAAGACGGATTCGAGATCCAGCTTCAGGTTAATTACCTTGGGCATTGTCTGCTGACTCAGCAGTTGTTGATTGATTTCTGTTGTCGTCGACAACAAAACGATCGGTCTTCCCTTGGCGAGGGCATCACATCGATCCCGACGCAGCTTTCATCTCTTGCTGATGCTGACGTGGCTGATGCTGACGTGGCAGGTAGCTGTAGTAGTAGTAGTAATAAGGACGGTAGTAACGATAATGTCACGGGGGCATCTACTTTTGGTTTTCCCGCCAGTTCCGTCCCTCAGCCGCTTTTTTCTCCCGCCAGAAAATTGTTTTCTCCCGCCAAATTGCGCGTGATCAACATGTCGTCAAGCACTCATCATAGCGGCAATATCCATTTCGCCGACCTGAACTTTCGGCGGAAGTATCACGCCTTCCACGCGTACACGCAGTCGAAGCTGGCCATCGATCTGTGGACCAAGGAGCTGCACCGCAGGTATCGGGATCGGGGCGTCACTGCGGTGTGTGTTCATCCCGGCCTCGTGGACACGGCCCTCGCTCGGGGGTATTTCGGAAACTTGGCACCTTGGCCCTTATCGGGTTGGCTGGGACCGCTCTATCCCATATTTCTGAAGACGTCAACACAAGCGCTGGAGACCGTGATGTACGCAATCACGGCTCCTCCAGAGGAGATTGGAGGTGCTTACGTGGCAGATGCACGTGTAAGCCAGTGCGGACGGATCTGCCACGACGCCAAGCTGGCGACAAAGCTATGGGATGTCACCTTGTCTCTTCTGCCCACCTCCACAGCTGTCTTCACATAATCTCTCTCTCTCTCTCTCTCTCTTTTCGTGCGTCTCAGACCCCGACCGCCATTTCCTTCTCACCTCCTGCACCTATCTCTGTTACTGTTTTCTTTTCTTTTTTTTGCTGATTTTCCATAGGGAACTTGACTTTTTCGTTCTTTGTACTTTCTTTCCAATTGAGAGATTAGACCCAATTGATTTTTAATTAACCCCCAACGGCCCACGTCATCTTTTCGTTTTGTCGCCAGCAGTTGGAGGGGCAAGTAGGACCACCATCTCTCTCTCTCTCTCTCTCTCTCTCTCTCTCTCTCTCTCTCTCTCTCTGGGCGTGCCACGATCTGTCGCACCCGAAATTCAGGCTCTCTCTTTCTTTAGGGGTTCGCGCCCTAGGGGTTCCTCTTCTTCTTCTTCGTCCTCTTCTTCTTCTTCCCCCCGCCGGCTGCGAACGGCCCCTCCTTTGTCTTCGTTGTCTATATTGGGACGTCGGTAGGCTCGTTCATTCTCTCCTCCTCCCAGTCCCCCTTCCTCTCGACGTCGTGTTGATGCTAATCTGCGGGGATCTTTGTCTTACCGACAACCTGCTCTGCCA